TCTCTCCCCTCTTTCTCTCCCTCTCTCTCTCTCCCTCTTTCTCTTTTCATTTATAATTACTATAATCATTTATACCAATAATTAGATTATTTTCAGACTTGTCTTACTAGTCTCTTGGTCATTATAACTCAGCACAAGTTATCATTACATACCTGCGCTGAGTTTTGTCTCTCCTCAGAACCGGCCTATCTTCTATCTTCATGTTTTTCTATTTTCTTTAGTTTCCTTTTCTTTTCTTTGCATCTCCAAGTGGGACCCTGCTCTCTTTCTGCTCCAGATCATCTTTCTTTCTCTTTCTCTCTCTTATTCCTTATCTTCCTTGGAACAGAGTTCGATGATTCTTTACTTCTCGTCCACGAAACAACGTTTATTACGGAAAGCAAATCTTCCGCCGTCGCTGAGAGTATTCGTAGTTACAAGAGAGGAGGGCATTATGACAAGATACAAATGCTTTATTTTATTGTTGCCGGCCAGTTGCACAGGAATGCCTGAACCATTCCCTGGGGAAAATTATTGCTTGAGAAGAAGAGGAGGGTAGAGGGAGGGTACCGACTCTTGACCGTCATTACCGGAGCATTCCCTTCCAGTGTATATATATATATATATATATATATATATATATATATATATATGTATATATATATATATGTATATATATATATATATATGTAAGGTATATACATAGTATAAACGTATATAGTATATACGTAGTAGTGTTTTGTAGGTACCAGACTTATCTTAAGTCTTTTCTACGAACAAAGACCATCTCTGGTACGGACTCGCGCGAGACGGTCGAAATTATACGTTTGCATGACACCGATGATCTTCCTACGTTCGACGCCTCCTTCTTTTTCCCTTCGGCTTAACTATTATACGAATCGTAGAACACATTTAACAAACACTTCGTATACCTATATTTTCTTAGCGTTCGCGTAATTATCATTAGAATGGAATTTGGTGAATGATTTATTATATCAGATAGGAATGTTTGTAAAGTATATATTTAAATGAACAAGAAGATAATCGTAAGTTTCTAACCATGATACTATTTCCGTCCATCAAAGGTTGACGACTATGCTGATCTACTTGTATCATTACGAGTACTCACTGATAACAAATCACCTGATTCACTTTATCGTATCAAGATCTTTCAAGAAAGAAGGAGCAAATCGACGAGTAAAATCTAAAGCAACCGTTCCTCTTCAATATATGTTCGTTAGACTAATTAACAGTGAAACATTTATTTTTTTGCACTGTCGATGAACGGTGGTTGAACGAGAAAGAAAAAATTAAAAGGATTAAAAATAAAGAGAAGAAGAAGAAGGAGAAGAAGAAGAAGAAGAAGTAGAAGAAGAAGAAGAAGAAGAAGTAGAAGAAGAAGAAGAAGAAGAAGTAGAAGAAGAAGAAGAAGAAGAAGAGGCGAAGATTACGTTGCAATTCGAAGGACAGTGGGACGAAGTCGTCGAAGAGAGACGACGAGCGTTTAGCATCGAAAACGAGTTCCGGGCCGTCGGTATCAATCTTTAGACGGAGTTCCTTTCCAACTGTTACAAGCACCGGAACGCCGTCGTTATCGTATGGAACGAGGCGCCCTCGTTATCGTCGCTTATCGCTAATAAGATCGCTGGACCGCTCGTTATCGTCACCGTCGCACTCGCCCCGTTCTCATTTTCGTACGATTGTGATCGTTAATTATCCCTATCGCAGCCGATCGTGCTCTCCCTTCCTCCTCCCCTTCTCTCTCCCCCTTCTCTCTCTCTCTCTCTCTCTCTCTCTCTATCTCTATCTCTCTCTATCTCTCCTTTTCTTCCCTCTATCGTTGTCCTTCTCCATCGTCGTCGTCGTCGACGACGACGACACTGTCGCGCCGCCGCCACCACCGCGCCGCCGTCGTCGTCGTTCTCCTCGTCATTATCATTTCAGTAATTACCGGTGTATTCCCTCGTTTTCATCTTGTTATCGCTCGACCGTCGCACTTCCGCGAAAGCTCGCACGAAATTCGTGCAATCGAGCGGGTCATAGGTCGTAAATTTATTGAATCCATACTGAATTCTCTCATCTTCCTCTATTTCTGTCTACTTTCCTCCCTCTACGTCTCTCTCTCTCTCTCTCTCTCTATTCTTCCCATATTTTCTTCATTTTTTCTAACATTCCATTGACGAACAATGAATACGTTGAGGCTTGAAATTTTCCAAATAACACAACTCATATTGAATTTTATTGAAAAGTGACTGAGAGATATCTGTGTTCGTGGAACGAATGTTTTTACTTTTTTTTTTTTTTTTTTTTTTTTTACTACAAATAAAAAGGCTTTTATTTATTTAAAAATATAATTAAAATCCTAGTTCAATACGTATATATATATATATATTTCTTTCTTCGCCGTATGTATGTATATCGATATGAACGATAAACTATTTTATGGTCTATCCTTCTCGTGCAATACAATATTCTATTAGATTCTTTTCATATCGTCCTCATGACAGGAAATGCCGTTGTTATGCCTTTGTAACCATCATAATGTTTCAAGATGGCGAATAGAGATAATTATTTGTATCGAAATATTATTCATTATTAACTTTTATATTATTTGATATAATCCTGACGGCGTATTTACAGAAAATTTAATTAAAGAGCTAGATTAGCTCTTTTATATTCCATAGGTCTTGTAGATTCGAAGAAAGCTGAAAAATTTCCATCATTATCCATCATTTCGATTCTGAAAGAACGACTTTGCGCAAGATCGAGACGCGTGTTCTCGTCACGACAGGTTATAACGGGCTCAGGCACACATGGCCTCGTTATACATGAAATATCCGCTACTTCGGGATTAATATCGTTGCTACGCGGCAATCTGCGTAATGATTCAGACGCAAAGAGCAAAACAGGGAGGTATTAATACGCGGAAAATACATTTCTCTCTCTAATTAATACCCTTCTCTTTACCTCCCTTCCCTACTCACTATCTCTCTATCTCTCTTTCGTTCTCTTTCTCTCTCTTTCTCTCTCTCTCTCTCTCTCTGCCCCTTTCTCCCTCTCTTTCATCCAGTCTTTTCTCGGTATATCCATCTTCGTTGTATCATCAGCAGCACTACCAACGTAATACATTCATTTATGAGTAATAAAGTAAGCTCTTTCTCTCTCACTCTCTCTTGTCAACGCAAGGCGTCCAATGAAGCCTGCCCGTGCAGATGTTCCGATAAGGCGAACGGGTAATTAATAATGAACGGTTAACAATTAACAGTGAAATTAGCGCATAACGCTGTGAGGCTTAATTGGATGCAGCAGCTGGCAGGTGGTACGTGCACGCTCTCGAGTTATGGATAGATATAGACGGCCCAAGAGCTAAAGAGAAAGAGAAAGAGTAAGAGAGAGAAGAGAACCGTTATAGCTCGTATTTTTTGACACGGCGTTTGAAATAAAGAGCCGGTGTCGGTTGGAAAAAGAAGGTATAAGAAAGGGAAGACCAAGGAAGAAAGAAAAAGAAGAAGAAGAAGAAGAATAAGGTGCTCGTTATCCTCAAGGAAAAGGACACGCACAAGTTTTCGGACGATACACAGCATGCCGATCGAGGCACAACGACCCGCTGCGTTTACTGGGAAAGGACGATTATTGTTAATTAAACTGGGCGTGTCGCGTAGAGGGATTCACGCGGGTTTCACGCTTTCTTAACGAAGGGACCCAGTCGTTTTTTGAATTCTAATGGTCCTTTCCAACCCTCTTCTATACGTTTCACTTTTCTCTCTCACTCTCTTTCTCTCTCTCTCTCTCTCTTTCTCTGTCTCTCTGTCTTTCTGTCTCTTTCTGTCCCTCTGTCTTTCATTCCCTCACCAAGTAATTTCGCTTTTCATTGAGTTTCCACGTGTTTGCATTTCGCTTCGAAGACTTAACGATGCTTTGTCCAGCATGATTCTTTTTTACTTGCAATTTATCGTGTGAATAGTTTATGGAAAACTGTATTAATGTAAACAACGACAAGGGATAAAATCGACCAATAGTATTTAGAAATTTGTACACTCTTGTACTCGCAATCAGTTGCACAAACAAAATAATATTGACCAATCGATATTATACGATACTTGGGAAAAGTATCTATGGCATTTTAAAATCGCGAATAATATTTCTCAAACATAAGCCTAATATCGACGAGTGCAATGCCATTATATTTTTTCATTCCATTCATTCTAAACGAACGTGATGCAATGACTTTCTTCTTGAAAGCCAATAATCCTTAACTATTCCTCAGAGAATCATCATTTTGTTAATCCGTTAGGGAAAGCGGCACTTCAGCCGGTTACACGATCTCTCACGCTTACACTGCGAACGATAACGAGGATAACGAGCTAACGCGATCATTTTCCGTAGGAAGAGAATAGAGCCACGGCCACGTTGGCCGAGGAAATTCGACTGGATGCCGGAAAAGATCATAAAGGAGAGTAATTAGAACAAGCTTTGTTCGTCGACGTGACAATGCGACGCTTCGTTTTCGAACTCCGTCATCCACCCACACTATACTTCGCCCTCGAGCCATTCTCGATCCACATATTCACCTCATCCCCCTTCGTCCCAAACTACAACCCCATCATCGCGATCGGACGAATTTGATTGGGAAAAAAGAGACGCGCGTTCAGCCGTTAACACTGACCGATGGTTTTAGAAGCTTTCTCTCATTTCTTTTTCTATTTTCTTTTTTTTTTTTTTTTTTTTTTTTTCGTTTGAGTTTTGATCCCAACGCGAAATTAACAGCCGGAAAATTAGGCCTTTGATCTTGACACGCCTACGATCCATCGCACAACCGTACGGAAAAAAGAATTAAATTCGAACGAGAAATATAGGTGCGTGCATTATTTCTCCCGTTAGTAAAAATTTCTTTTTTTTTTTTTTTACTACAAATTAATAACCACAATAAAATAAAAAGGAACTTATTAATTTGATTCGTTATATTAGCAAAAAGACTTGTAACTTTTTTCCTAAAACGACGTCTATCTTTCTTGTTTCAGTTAATTCAAGAGAACCGGAAGAAGAGAACCGGTTTCCGTATAGTCGGACCACAGTAAGGTCCGCGAAGGGGTTAGTGGGAGCAAGATAAAAGAAGAAACGGGAGTTAGAGCGAGAAAGCAAGAGAGTGAGCGAGAGGTAGGACCCAAAAGCTTTTGTTTTTCGTCGTGACAAGCTGTCGGTGGGCTCCTTGGGCCCACCTCTCATCGGTCAAGCTGGCGAGCGCTCTAACCGCTGGTATGAACCCCCACCACCCGGGCCACCCCGCAGCCTACCCCCACCACTCGTCTTTGTCAAGTAGTCCGCATCATACAGGCCCCGGTGGGCCTCACCATGGCTATGGAGCGAACGGTGGCGGCGGAGGAGGTGGTGGTGGCGGTGGTGGAGGCACCACAACAACCCCGGACCTACCGAGTCCTCATTCGCCACCCCATGGAGTTGCCACGGACCCGGCTACTCCGTATGGCTCTCTACAGGCAGGACAAGGTATGGGCGCCAATGGACATCACCATGGAGCCGGTAGTATGATGACCGACCATCCGCACCATCCGGGACATCCCCATCCCCATCTACCAGGTCATCCTGCTTACCCACCGGTCAATCACAATAACAACTGTACGCTTAAGGTAAGATGCCTATTTTAGTTTTTACAACTTTTCTTCTTCCATCGACTTACCTCGTATTTATAGCGATAGAACAACTCCAACTTTGTCACTTCTTGTTCTTTTTTTTAAGAATACTTTGTTTAGAACTATAGTAGCCAACAAAAATAAATTATTTCATGTCGATCGTTAACATCAGCATTACCACAGTCATTAACGAAAGTACACCTGTCGTTTTTATTGATGTAACTTAGATAAGATGTACATAAATAAAGTTGACTATATATTGTCGCACTGTTAATTAAGTTAACATGTTCCAGATTTTTCAATAGAGATAAAGATGTTAATCTTTACAATGGTTGATATCGTTAATAAAGGAAAAAAAAAAAAAAAGAAAATAATGAAACAACAGATAGCAAACGGTTTTCACGTTTGAATGCGATCAAATTCTACTTTCTATGTTCATCCGTCGCGCGAGAATGACCATGGGAGAAAGTCTTTAAGCGGAAGCATTTGGAACTAGTATCGCACTATCCATATAATAATCAATGTGCGGATCTTTATTGCGAAAGATACTTTCTATCGTGCACACAACGATTCTTCAAACATTCCAATTGTAAATTTGCTAAATTACTTTTGAAATAAAATCGTGTTTTCTTCGAAACGTAGCAAACTTTATCCATAAAAATTTAATTCGAAAAATATTGAAGAAATAGATTTCAATTGAGAAGATTTATTTGATGACGAAACAAAGCGAAATCGTTCCCCATTTCATAAAATTTTAATGATCCAATTCATATTCAACCAACTAAAACATCTTTCTAAAGCTTTTATGAAATCAACTTTTTTGACTTCAACTGAATAACAAAACGTTTCTCCTGACCCTTGAGTTCCACGACAGCCAGACCACTTGACATCCCTACGTCTCCCATCATCCATCGAAGTCAGTAATAAACACCATCAGCATCATTCAAGCTTGATCCACCGCCTCAGTGTTCAACCCTGAAACGAAAAATCTCTCTCTAAGGTGCGTACAGGTGGCTTCACAGGATTTAACCAAGAATCTTTTGAAAATAGTCAGGAAAAGACGGGCATAGAAAGCAAAGAGAAACGGTCAAGGAAGACAAGGCAAAAAGATAGAGAAAGGCGAAGGGTCGCGAAGTTAGAATTCACCAAGCATTATCCGTCTATGTGATCCTCACTTAGCTCGCCATTGACAAACGTAACAATATGGGCATTTACCATGGAGAAACATAATTGAATAAGGGCAGAGGGGATGCCAAGGGAAGGCTACAGTGTTCCCTCTCTCTTTCTGTCTTCCCTTTATTCCCCCACGCTCTTCCACGGACCGCTCTTACCGTCCCCTCTTTCAGCCTTAGTTAGGTCCTTTCTAGGCTCGCCTTTTTATTCTCCCCACCACACCGGCCCGTCTTGCCTTCTCAGGGTACCTGAACCCAGGGCCCCAACGCTCTTACGGTCTGTTGAGGGAGAGAGTGTGTGTGTGTGTGTGTGTGTGTGTGTGTGTGTGTGTGTGTGTGTATGAGAAAGAGAGAGAAAGAGACAGACAGAGAAAAAGAGAGAGAGAGAAAGAGAAAGAGAGAGAGAGAGAGAGAGGGGCCCAAAGCATCGTCAGACCAGTCAGTTGGGTTCTGACTTCGGTCGGAACTGGTTCGTTCCTTCTTCGTTTCTTTCCTTCCTTCTCTCTCGCAATCTTTGTTCGCGACACTCTTGGATATATCACGAATACGAACTCCTTTTTTCAAGACACTCGTGTCCTTCTTTCCATCTCTGTTCCTTTTAGTTACTTAACTCCATTTATTTTCTTTCTCAGTGCCTATATTTCACAGCCGTGAAATTCCTGAGGTTCTACGGTTAGCGTTAAAGACACTTACGGAACACAGTGTTTCACCTGTCGGTGCGATTATTTCGATACTTTTCTCTCTCTCTCTCTCTCTCTCTCTCTCTCTCTCTCTCTCTCTCTTTCTCTCTTTCTCTCTTTGTGTTTCTCGTCCAGTTTTTTGTGCCTTCCGTGTTCACGGATGGGAAGCGACGATAACGCGAGTGCCTTTGTTAAAATCTTTTCATCAGAACGGTGGAAATAAATTTACAAAGGGAAGTGTGTTAATGCGTGCTGGTTCTTAATTTGTGAATTTTGTTGAACGAAGAAATACTTTCTCTGTGCGAGATAGTTCAAAGATCATGGAGGTTCACGCGCATCATTACAGCACCATAACCTCGCGGATGAATCAAATCAAATGTTTCCCCGGGGATAAAATCGTAAGAATCCTTTTTGTTTTCATGGCATTGTACATGTGCTGTGCTGATCGTTTAGCGACGGCTAAAGAACGATCGACAAAGTTCATGATACATATTGTAAATTTCTTATCGAAATTATGTTGTATCAAAATGAAGAAGGTTTTTTAATGTGTATGAAACACATTGTTGATTTTGAGGGTACAAAGATTCGGTTTTTTCGAAATTGTTCGGAAGAAAATCCGATCTTTCATTACTTTTCTAAAAGAAAAAACGTACTTAGATACAAAACTCGGATTGAGAATGAATTATATTTTTCATGAAAAGTGAAATCGAAAGAAGATTCTCTTTATACGGAACGGAACTTGCGAGAGACGTGGCCGAAGGAGAATCGTTTCTAGTGGACCTTTTTCCGCACAAATCGTCGTTTTGTTTCGTTAGGCTCGACCGGTTTCAGAGATAAGGCTCCCGCGGGCCTCGTGAGCGCTCGACAAAACACTCTCAAGAACGTGCGTCTCACACAACAAATGGTATATTTGACACATTGTTGTAAGATTAACATACCATTTTGTTAAAGTTCGTTAAAGTGATATAAAATCGAAGTAAAAAATTGTCAAAAGTGAAAGTTGCAAATCATTTGTCGCGTATTTTAAAATCCAATTATCCCGATCATTGGATTTCATAGAAATAAAAGTTCAATTAGGAATTTATTTCATTTCAATTGGATTACAAAGAAAGGGTTAAATCGATAAAGATACGTTTGTTCAACAACTAAAACGTCGGAACTCGCCTGAACAGTTTCTATTTCTCTTTTTCTTTTCTTATATTCTCTAACTCTCACCGTGCGCGCTTTTCTGTCGCGCAGGACAAAGTTTCCGCAACGGTGCCATGAGATCTTATGTTTATGCAATTGTTCGTAGCTTTACTTAGTAGCGCCTCGTTTCGCCGTCTCGATAAAATCTCAACGACGAAAGAGGCTTAATTAAGTGCGCGGGATGGAACGAGTTACGTACAGGGACCACGAGCAGAAAGAGAGAGAAAGAGAGAAGGGGAGAGAGAGAGAGAGAGAGAGAGAGAGAGATCGAAAGAGTAGGATTGCGCGCGCGCGCGCACGCGTTCACGAGAAGAGAGAGAGAGAGAGAGAGAGAGAGAGAGAGAGAGAGGAAAACGTTGCATCACGGAAATTGACTTGGTGCTGGCGACAATAGTTTCTCAAGGCGCGTTACTCTCGACGACGGTACAAGAGGCATTCCAGGCTAATAAATTATTGCTTGAACCAACTTCGTGCTGCAAGGACATTTTTTTGTCAGACGCGGTTACATTAATGCAAAGAAGGCACGCCTTGAACTTTCTCACGTTTTACTTACTAACCCACGCTAAACTTGTCCCGCGTGACGAGCTCTACAAATGTTTTCGCGAATCGATCAATTGTTATATTTCATGAATTTTATCATTTCCTCTTAAGAATACTTAGATTTCTAACGATTTTATATTACGACAAAAAAAAAGAAAAAAAAAAAGAGATAGAATTTAATCAGGCGTGATTCGAATAAAGTAATTATTCAAACTTATAAAAACAATATTTTCATTCTGAATAGCTTCGTAATAATCATCTTGATACACGAATGTTGATTATATTCTTTTGCGATACAATCTCGTTTAATCACGTATTATACTCGTGCGCAGGTGCCATGATAGTTCTAGTTTGTCGTACACACACGTAAAAAAAAAAAAAAAAAATATGGTTGACCAATTTAGAAAGAGGAAAGTATCGTCTTAACCAAAGCGCGCGGAGTACCACTGCGTAGTTGGACACGAGAAGAATGGGAAACCATCCGTTAGCCTTCCTCCTTCCCTCCGCCCCGCAGTGGTGCTCATTCTGATAGTTCCACAATTTCTCCCAAATTTCGAAAATGTCGTGACTTTGGCGATCGATGCAGAACGTGGAACCTAATTTTACAAATGTACAATTTTAATGGTATAATTTAAAAATTTTAAGGCTTAAGAATCATTGGCCTGAAATGGATATTGCGCGTGTGGCAATTAAATGTCATTTCTTATTGCTAGATCGAGCTCCATTAATATTGTCTTAGTAATTTACGAATTTACATGACCGCACCGAAGTAATATGAAATTTCTTCTGCAGCAAGAAGGCGGTCCAAGTGCACCAACGAGCACTCAGTTATGCGCGGGTTGTGGCGGTCAGATAGTCGAAAGATGGCTGTTACTCGCGATGGATCGCTATTGGCATAATGGCTGTTTGAAGTGCACATACTGTAATGCGGCCCTAGCGGAAATCGGCCACTCGTGCTACACCAGAAGCGGCATGATCCTCTGCAAGAACGACTACAGAAGGTAAGCGATCGATATTTTATTTTTTAATACAAAAAGAATAACGTATTCATTATCACGATTCAAAAAACTCAACATAATCTATAATGATAGATTGATAAGTCGAAATACTTGAGAAATATGTTTCAAAGAGCAGTCGACATTGAGCCAAGATTATAAACGATCTTTAAATACAGGGGATAACATTCAGAAAACAATATCGAATATCAAGAATGAGGACCTTATGATAAACGTTTGTCGACGAACGGTGCACGGAATGCAATGTAGCAATAAGTTTGTAGATAAAACCTGTGGCTCGATATCGAACTCACAAGACGAAAAAATTACTGGATCGACTGAACGAACGATGGAAGGAACGAAAAAAAGAGAGAGAGAGAGAGAGAGAGAGAGAGAGAAAAGAGCAAAGAAAAATGAAGAGAGGTAGGAGTATAGATAATGCGTACCGTGTTAATTAAGATAAAGTATTAATTACGATAAAAGTCGTGCGACGAGACAGAGATAGCGAGCTAGGTAATCGAACGGAGCGATATTTGAAGAGCGATAAGACAGAAGAGAAGGAATACATATCGATATTCGAGAACGATACGCGGAAATTAAAGAAAATGGATTATTCCAACGAATCGAAGTTAACCGTCGTCGTTTCGCTGAATCACGAGTATATATTTATTTTAGAAATAAAAAAAAAAGAAAAAAGAAAAAGAAAAAAGGAAAAGAAAAAAAAAGAAGAAGCAAAAATACGAAACCGTTGATACAACACAGATATTGGATTTCCGTTCGACGAAGAAAAGGACTCTAAAATAAATTGAACAATTTTATATTTTCCGCATCTCGTTGAACATAAGAAATCCATCCAAAATGGCCGAATAGTGGCGCATACAGTAATATAGCCCCGATAACGGTAACCTTAACAGTTTCTCGAAGAAGAATCTTTTTAACTTTAGAATAAATGTATCTGTTCGGTCGATAGAAAATTTAAAACGTCCAGAAACTGGCCGGGACGATGAATATGTACCTAATCCACGAGGACCGTTCCAAATTTAGAGAGATTCGAGGTCAGAGCGCAATTTAATGAGAAACAGACGTTGAACTTAGTCGGCACACGAAAATAGATTGACACAACCTGTCTTTTCTCTCTTTCTCTTTTACGAACACATACCTACTGTATTTGTGTGTCCGAGTGCGTGCTAGAACACGTAAGGTAATGAATACGTCTGATTTTTATTCGACGGCCGTTTCTTCGTGTCCGCGATTAAATATTGAATCTCGTGTGATCGATCAGACAGATATACGATTTTCTAAGCAGATCGTTCTGTAACTTCCATGACTCTTTCAACAATGTGTATCGAATTTTTAAATATCGTCTCTTATATTCGTTGTTTGTTACAATTTTTCTTACTGACCTTTTGTTTTCTCTCGCATCGATAACTTGAGTATTCAACGTTTTATTTCAATATTTTCTCTTATTTTTAAGAGACATTGTTGGAGACTACAATGAATATATATATATATATGTGTGTGTGTGTGTGTGTATATATGTATGTATATATATTCGAACATCTATTTGTCTGCATATTCCCGTACGAATAAGCACGAACTGGTGCCAATATGGCGTAATGCAACGTTCCTCGGAAGAACAACCAGTCTCTTGCTTTCTCTCTCTTACTGTGGCCGCGTCGAGCACACGTGTCACGTCAGCAGACGTATTTACCGTCCCAGGTATTCGTATTTACCGCGGATCAGAATATGGGGACTGTAAAAATGGCCGGTCACATATGTTTCCTTTCAGAACGCAGATGTTGCAACTGCAATTAGTATTTAAAACTCTTTTCTCGAATTCAAAGAACGACTATAAATGTAAAGTTATGGTAACCTAATTCAACATTAATAAATACGATTGAAAGAATTCATTTTATAATTTAATCCAATCTTTAGCATTACGCTTCATTTTTTTTTTTCTTCGGAGGAAATTATGTATTTTTTAAATATTACGTTGTCGTATCACTTCTAAAAAAAAAAAAAGAAAAAAAAGAGAGAGAGAGAGAGAGAGAAAAAAAGAAAAAACTATCAAATTTATTAGATTATAGACATCAATAAATAGACATCAGATAGATACACTCTTGCTAATTTTAAACATTTCTCAAGTCTACCAAAATAGTTTCACGACTCTTTCATAAGTTGTCTATATTCGACCGGCATATACATTCTCGTTACGACTCTCGGCGTCGTGCACGTACGTCCTAATCTGTTGGTATAGTGGAACGATTTGGTCTAACGTAGTATCAATATTTGATCATGGAACATCTCCAGACGTCCATCCAGCTGATGTTCATGAGCACATCGTTTCGATAAATCGAATTTCGACCGACAACAATATAATGATTCGTAGTCTTTCATCGGAAATAGTTCCTCCGCAATAATGACGAAAATTTCACTTTCCCATTTCCATTAATATAACTCGAGTTATTCCCGATGATAATAATTCAAATGAAAGTAATGTAAACTATCATAAAGTATTCGTATTTTTACTTAAATAAAAAAGAAATTACAGAGATTACAGTCCGAATAATACTCGATATTTACAAGTAAAAAAAAAAAAAAAAAAAAAGAAAGAAAAAGAAAAAGAAAGAAAGAGCTTCCGTTCAAGAGCTTGACGTTCAAGAATGAAAAACTTATTTAAATGAAAATCGAAGGAATCTGGACGGCGGATACAAACATACATAAACGGACGAGAAAATCAAACATGTGGCGGAAATTGCAATTCCTTGGTGAAAATCAAGATAAAGAGGACAAAAAAATAGAGCCTCGAATTTCGTAGCTCTAAAGACGGTTGTACGTGATACGGTGTTGACGAGGTATCGAAATCGGGCCTCGCAGAGGAATAAGAAGAAGACAAAGAAAGAGAGAGAGGAAAAGAGTACTACGAGGAAATGTGTGTACGCGCGAGAGACGGATAGCGTGGACGAATAAAGAGAAACGTTCGCAAAGTGGGAGAAAAAAAGATCGGGGAATTTGAAAAAGAGAAGAGAACGAAGAAATAGAGAACAGTCGATCGGTAAGAGAAGAAGATAGAAATGGATGGTAAAAGAAGGAGAAAGACAGAGGGAAAGGGGGAGGGAAAGAGAGAGAGAGAGAGAAGAAGACGAAGAAGAGAAGATAGGAAACGTGAAGGATGGTGAATGGGGTGAGGAGAGCGAAGGGGGTGTAGCGTCGGCGGTTCGTTTCTTTTGGATTCAAGGAATGTTTCAATCAGTTTGATTGAAGGGCTGAGCCACGGCAAGAGGGTAAACTCGATTTACAGGCGTGTAGTAGGGGGTGGCTGCGCCAGGAGTAAGGGGAGGGGTGGACCACCGCGTGCGGAGAGGATGCGCCGTATAGGAAGAGAAAGCGAGAGAGAGAAAGAGAGATATATAGATAGATAGAGAGAGAGAGAGAGAGAGAGAAAGAGAAAGAGAGATATCTGGAAGGGGTTGGTGACTGTGTGTGGTGGACCAGGGTGAGGTGCAGGGATGGTACCACAATCACCGAGATGCGTCCAATCATCCCCACCCTCTTCACGTCCACCCCCTCCCGCCGTGCTTCTCGCACGGAGTGAGCCTGAGAGAGCAGCGCCATCGGGTTTCGGATGAAAGAGTGAGTGTGAAGGGAGAGAGAGAGAGAGAGAGAGAGAGAGAGAGAGAGAGAGAGAGAGAGAGAGAGAGAGAGAGAGAGAGAGAGAGAGGTCGAAGGGATTGACGGTGGATTTCGGAGCGAGGAGAGCGGCCAATCATCGCCCGGCTTTCCGCTGGAGCGACGTCGTCGTTGTGCTGGTTTGGCCTAGATGTGCAATCAGACCGTTTCAGCTTCCTCTCTCTCTCTCTCTATTTCTCTATCTGTCTCTCTTGCTCTTTCTCTTGGTTACCATACCCTCTAGCATTCTCCCCGTCGCGTCGCGTCGTCCTCCTTCAGCTTCTGGCCGAATACCAAATTCCAGCAATTTGGTAGGTGGGTACTTTGTTGAATCAACATGATTGGGCTTGACGGAGCGCGGCGACAGGGTGCGTCTCTTCTAACGCTTATATCTAGCTCTCTCTCTCTCTCTCTCTTTATCTATCTATCTATCTATGTATCTATCTATCTATCTATCTATCTATCTATCTCTTTCCCTCTCTTATACTCTCCTTCTGTAGTTGTTGTCGTTGTCGTAGAAATTCTCGTGTGCACACGCGCGCACACAAACGGTAGGAAGACATCGCGAAGTTCTTCGCACGAATTCGTAACCCTTTCGAATGTGAAAGAAGAAAGACGTAGAGTAAGAAAAAGAGAGAGAGAGAGAGAGAGAGAGAGAGAGAGAGAGAGAGAGAGAGAGAAAAGGAGGAAGAGTAGAGTAGGGGAGAGAGATATTCACTGTAATCCCATTAACGACTAAAGTATTAGAACGATGTAAATCTTCACCCACATCGTTGAGTTCGATGAAACACTTAAACGTTGCAACTAAGAATAACTTCTTTGTTCAGTCATCTTTCTGACGAACATCAACTGACAAGTGATCGTACTGATATGTGTCTATCTCAACGTCAATCTTAATTCCTCCTTTACTTTTGATTAAAGTTTGTCGTATTTATTTTATATTCAAATTGTAGTGTCAAGTTCTAAACATCGAATAGTATATAGTAAAATATTTTTCCAAAGATACAACAAAATCACAATGTCCTCTCGTTAATTTGTATCGTATTCGGTAGTGATCGTTAAAGGCGCTGAAATACAAAGATTATATTGCGGTTTTGCAAGAGAATGGGTAGCCATAAATCATTCCTGACACTGACAAAACGATAGCCGGCACAGAAACAAAAAATTAATGCTTACGAAAGAAGGAGATGGACGTCGTTGTATGGGCCGTCCAATAATCGATGCTTTTTAAACGGACGAAAATCGCTTCATGTCTATAGACGTTGAAAAAAAAAAAAAAAGAAAGGGGCGAAAAGAAACATCATGTTATCGTGAAAATGAACATATCTAATTAGATT